TCTAACGCAGGAGGGAAATCAGAAGTGGGAAAGGTCTTCCCCACAGTGGATTCAGGCTCCAAGCTTCCGGAGCGATCTTCTCGGTTCCAATTTCAAGTCCATGCATTTGCACTTGGCCTGTGGAGATCTCAGAGGGCTAGCATAAATGAGAAGATCTCTCCAGAAGCTGGCACCGCGAAATTCACAGTGGGGAAGACCCCGCCCACTTCTGATTTCCCTAATGCGTTACAGTCATTTTTTTCGCCTTTCCAATGTGGATTTTTAAAGTCAGCATAGTGAATAGGCCCAGGTAAGCACAAAATCTCAAAATCGACTTTTTACCCGGACACTGCCTTTAAAGCTATTCCACTATAGACCTTGAAGAAGCTTTCCAAGAGGAACTCGGTACAAAACGATTTCAGTGAGAAGGAAGTTAAAACTAAGAGATACTCTATTCTTTCTACAAACGACAATACCGAAAAACAAACTTACTTCACAATCCCGCAAGACTGCCCATGTGCCTCCCTTACCTGAAAGCAGAAGTATAAAATTTTAAAATGTCCGATATAAAACGGCAATACACAAGTATGAAGGTAGCAAATCATTGAAAACTAGACTATGCGTGCAGAAAAGTGCTTAAAACGAAAAAAACCATCAAAATAAGAAAATTGGGCAGTTTGGAGTCGATTTTTAGCCGTATGCGCACTTGGTGCAAGTACGGCACGGCGGGAGCCCAGCACCTCACCCGGAATTTCAATGTGCAGTAACACACATCGCACTGAGGTGACTAGACGGATGACGACTACTATACTTCTACAACGGTGTTGTTGAAAATGGAAATTTATAGGGGATCAGTTTCAGATCGTGGCTTCATGAGTGATGAATCCAAGCAACTACTGCAGCACAGAAAGAAGGCTGTCTTGTATACTATTCAAATTAGCGCACGAGGCCATCTAAACACATATACTCTTGTTGAGTGTTGTGAGATGAATGCAGGGGGTCCTAAAACTGCATAGAATTAGTCAGTCATTACTGAGCCACAAACCCTTTGCCAAACTTTGAGTAGATTCTTTAGTGCTGGCTTCCTCAGATTTACTATAGAGCGACCTGTCGATCGCTTTTCAGTTTATAGGGTTACCATAGGATTAACTGAAGAAGTTTTGAGGTCCATATTTTGCCTATGAAAGGAAACCAAAGAAACGAAAACTATTACATTGGCTTTTGAAGTCACTAGCTTCGAATACAACGTCAGTATTCAACTACGCCTTTTTCGGAAGTCGTACCAGTAAACCGTGATGAATGTTTCCAATATTTTCCAAAGACCTGATAAATATTTTTGGAAAAGTTTTTGCAAACTGCATATATCGCAGTGGCTCTATATGCTGAAAATTCCTACCGTAATCTCACTAATAAGACGCTATTTCTTGCTGCAGATGTGAGCTGAAGCTATCTCTGCAGAAATCAAAAATTGACAAAGCTTTCGTAGAGACACTAGGGATCAAACTGTGTGTACAGGGTGCGCCAAAATTACCGGCGCGTGTTTCCTTGAGTGCCAGAAGGATACTAGACGGGCTTGAAGACGGATTGAGTATGCGTTTGTTTTCACCAACCATCGTCAGTAACGACATAGTCAAATCAGAGGTTGGCTTGCTTTACCCCTCGAAGAAACCGCAATTCCTCTCGCCGACCGAAGTGTGCTCTGTACGCAAGCATGACTTTGAGAAATTACGTAACATCTTTTTAACAACATTTTCTCTTAATTTGTAATTGCGCACGAAAATAGAGCAAGCCTTCATCTGTAATACAGTTAGATATGGAAATTTGAAAATCGATTCGAAGAGAGCTTCTGATTATTCAAAAACATGTTTGAGAGGTGGCATACCGAGAATTGGCGTAATTTTTGCCTTACTGAGTGGCTTAGGATCAAAAAATGTCTTCTAAATCAAATTCAAAATTACCTCAGCTACTGCTTCTATCCAGTTGCTCTTCTATCCGTCTCACAATTAGGAAACGATTTCTACCTGAAAGGTTTTGCATAGCTGGGGCCTAATAATCGGTCTTGAACATAAGGTCATTGCTCGTACGCAGGTATTTTCAAACACATTTCCTTATTTCGTGAAGAAACAAATTCTGCAAATGCAACTGGACTATGTGACCTATGTGCAAATTGTGCACTACAACTTGGAGAGGTCTAGAAAGGCTTTGAGTTTATTAAATTACAGAGCAAATTATGAAATTATAAAAATTTCTTCCTTGAATTTCTCGAAGATACCGGTCTGATTCTTTTAATTCTGAAATACTTGAAAAGAGGTCTTTTTGGATACAACAAGATGTGTTTTGTAGAGACTGATTAGTACCTTCTACGGCACAAATTTGAGCTTGTATCTCTTAATGGTTCCTTCATGGCAGTGTTTGTAAAGTTGGCGCCGGTAATTTTGGCGCACCGTAGATACTTTTGTGACGTATAGGCTACGAATATCGAATTTTCTATTATTCGAATGTCATCGCATTTTTGAATAGCCATTCTTATCGAATTCGATGAACATCGAATGATCAAATTAATGACCATCGAATATTCGATTTTCGAATAATATTCAAAGATGGAAAATCTCGAATAGTCGACTATCGATATTATTCGAAATCTCAAATTTTCGAATCATTCGCATTTGAATGATTTATTCGAATAATCGAATAATCATTCGATTCGGTCCAAAGTATACAGTGCAGCTTTCGTTCGGCTGGTCTACTGCAATATTCTGATCCATCATCCACAAAAATAGGCGAACTACTGCAAGTGATATTCGCAACCTGCATTTCTCTTTTGAGGTTGTTTACTATTGAATGCGATTGCACAGGGTGATGCTCGAAATACATTGCAAGAGACTAGATATTAGGCTCATCCAGAAGTGATGGATCACTTAGAGAACAAATGCAATTGTCTCAAACAGAAAACTTAATTGAATGTTCAAAATTGGCAGATGTTGGTAATGTCAAAACAATCTGATCGAGGTCTATACATGGGCACTGTCCAGGGCTCGGCACGAGCTGGCACCAGGAAATTTTCAAAACGAAGTCCCCCTTAACTTTTGGGAATTTTTACGAAATCCCCTTTGATCCTCAACGATATCCCCTCTAAAATCCTAAAAACCCCCCAAAAACGAAACGTCGAATAAAAAAAGGTCGCCGTCGCCAATTTTGCGTATATCTTCGCCCACAAAAACGAAACCCCCCTTGCTTTTTGCCCCAAAAACGATATCCAGCTTGCCCCGTGCCAGCTGGTGCCAGGCCCTGGCAGTCACTTCAAGTTATTTTTGTAAGGGCCTAAAATCAAAGCTTATCACTTCAAGTAAGAGTACTTGAGCAGCGCCACTGAAGCAAAACAAGTGGGACTATCAAAGATATCTGTGCCGCAATGAGCGCGCTCACCAGATTTATGATAGCCTGGTCCCAATGCTTTGCAACAGAAGATATAACAGTGAGTGTTAGGAGACTTAGACTCATTCAGTCTCCCATCGACTTAATTAAGTGAGCCTTTGACGGTTAGCATTTGATAGAGATTTTTGCGCTTCAAGTGTGTACAGCTTACCTCGTCCCTATTTTCAAAAAAAAACATTTGCAACAAAACATGTTTCATAGGCAAACTGCGCTAAATATCGCATTTTTGGAATATGCCTCGTTTTTGCAGAATAATGAAGAGGTTTTGCACATTTGAATTAATTCTCGAAAGAGCTTTCCAAGATTTCGAATGATATGTTACATGTCCAGGGGCTTTAGAGTAGAGCAACAAAAATCGGATTGCGGTCAAAAAAGTCTGTTTGACTTGGTCGGGTCCTGCAAGGTGCTGTCAGAGTAACCTGCAAAAATCACTTTTTACAAAAGCGTTCGAAAGTACGATTCTTTATACTTAATCAGAAAGAAATTTGGAAATGTTGAAAAAAAAAAACAGGTTGCCTATTACTTTTGGACGCCCTAATAATTAAGTTTGTGAAACTGATGAGACGATTGTATTCAAAGATGAAAAACGCATGTTGGAACAAACTACGCTGTTTTATTCTGAACTAGCAATTGGACAGGACAATGTCTTTAGATGCTGACGCTATTGACTTACGCACTTGCTCAAAATGGAAACGTAAGGTAGCTGGGGATGTAAGTCATGCTTACATAATTCTTGCATTCCGAAGAAGTCTGAAACAATTCCGGGTTGCAACGCTGCGGTACTCGACTTTTTCTGCAGAAATATTTGGTTCGAAGACCACTATTCGATCAGTATCATACTCAGAAGACCTCAAATGCACAACATATTGCACCTGGCGCACGAGCTGCTTTATTTAAGTCATGCCTCACATTATACACATTTCTCTGTTGAGTTGATAAATAGAACAAAATAAAAAAAATTTATTTCAGATGCTAGTCGATACATTATTTATGGTTGTAGAGTCTGCCTACGTTGTATCACTTCTACTCAATGGCCTTCTTCTACATGTGTACTTTCGTTTACCCCTGAAGTATAACTCATCCAGATATTTTATTCCCGTAACAGCTTTTCACAATATACTCTTCGCATGCTGTGGTATAGCAGCAGTGACGGCAAGTTCTATGGTTATAAAAAACTTTGAAAAAAATCTTCAAATTCCCGAAAAAATTTTGCAATGAACTGTTTGCAAATTTGTATTTTCACCAAGAAGTAGGGTCTGCACTTTGCATTTTTGAGAATGTAAAAATTTTGAAATTATGAAATGTCAACACCTCAGAAAACTTATAGTTTTTAGCGAACTTTTGCGACAAACTTTTGTTGGACTATGGTTACTTCTGGTCCAATCACTGCAAGACCATATTCTTTAGCCCTACTAGCTCTATTTTTTCTCTGTTTCGACTGCTCTATGATGACCATAACAAACAGCTTTGTGTACAAATACATTCAGATTTGTCGGTGAGATATTAGCCTTCACTCGCAGGAACCTCTATGCAGCGTTTTGTTCAGACATAATTATTTTTACTTTTACAAATCTGGACAAGGACAAATGGCTCTAATTTTCATAAATAGCACGATACTGATTATTTGGGGAGCTTACATCTACATCGGACTTTGGCCAAATGAGCAGCTTCTTAAGCAGATGCAAACACCTCTGCTGTTGATAATCGGAATTGATTTGAGAACAAATGGTGCAGTCGGAATCTGCCTGCGAGTGAGTTCAAAGTTTGAGCGATTAAAAATATGCAGCCATCTGTAATTGAATATCAATTTCAGCCACAACTTGCCTGGCCCAATCTAATCGTTATGATAATCTCTGTGATAATAATTCTTGCTCTAACATTAGCTGGAATAGTTTGCGCAGTACAAATTAGAAGAAAATTGAGGAGAGCGTCATTGAGCGCGCAAACAAAGAAAATGCAGCATCGCATGAACAACTTGTTGATGATTCAGGTAAACCAAATAACGAAATTTTTCCAAAATTCTATAATGGAGCATTTTGCAGACTTGTTGCCCGGTAGTATTTCTACAGCTTCCAGCTGTGGCTCAATACGTGATGATGTATTCTGGAGCCACTACTGACTCTACATTTTCGAACAGCAGTACAATTTTGTGGATGTTTTATCCGATATCTGGCCCTCTAGTCACATTGATCTTTATGAAAGAATACCGTGACTATTACCTGAGCAAACTTGGTTCATTCAAATCCCAGCATCGTTCTCATCAGACTTCAGGGCCTGGCTACGGCAAAAACGTGATTTCCACTACCGATTCCAATCGTCAGTTTGTTAGAACTGCATATGCATAGGATTCATGAAGTTACTAGATATCAGAATAAAGCTGTTGAATTGATTAACACTCCATATTCGGCTGTTTTTCAATCTTGGCATGTTATGTATTTATGCTATTATAGGGGCCTGCAGGATCGCGAGAATCGGACGTGCTTAAGGCCATTGCGCCGCGCGTCCGATGTCACTAAGGCAGGTGCCAGACTTATCCGCTTCAGCCGGTTCGTTCGATTCATAGGTCAAATCACTACACTGTCCAACAGCAAAGGTGGTGGAGCGAATGGATCTGTTCAACAGATAAGTCTGGCACCTACCTGAGTCGTCGTACATCTAACGTGCGCGGCGCAATGGCCGTACGCACGGCCGACTCTCGCGACCTTGCAGGCCCCTATACTTCAGCCAGGGTCCAGCACGAATCGGTTTTTGGGGTTTCTGAAAACGAAATCTCCCCTGACTTTCGGAAGTCTTACGAAGTCCTCTTTGACCGACCTGCTTAGGTGAAGACGAAAAAAGATAGATTCACTGGTCTGAAAGAAAAGACTTAAGATAAGAGTGAAAATCCAAATTGAAGCTGAATCCTACGCATGCACAAGACTTTGGCATTAGAGCGCGATATTTAACAAAGCGAGAATTGAAGGCAAAAAACAAAGGAAAGGCAATGATATGAAGATGTCTTCATGCTCAGGAATAGATTTTTGACCGGGGAATCCGTCCATGCTAAAAAGATCCAAAACTTATGTGAAGTGACAAAAATGTATGCTCCAGACGATCTGAGTTCGTCTGGTGGCCGTCTGGAGACGATCTAATTTCGGAAAAGGTATTGCTTCACATAAGCTTTCAAATCTTTTTTACATAATACTTTGGCAAATAATTTTCTATACATACAGTTCAATTTTGTGTGCGCTGTAAACAAGCAATTTGTTTATTTAAGCCTTGCTTTCAAATCGCGCGCTTTTTTTGCCATGCGCGATAGAGCATGTCAATTGTGTGATAACCTGTCTCTGAAAAGCTTGTATTCGACTAAATGACGCTTATTCTTGGTGCTCGGTTCCGACTCGTCAAAAACGATATCCCCTTTGCTGTTTGCTTCAGAAACGAAGTCCAGCCTGCTTCCAGACGATCTGTGCCGGGCCCTGACTTCAGCTATTGCTATTACTAATCGCCAAAACGTTAACCAATAAAGAGTTTATGAAAATCTTGACTATTTGCTTCAAGTAATAGCACATACACAGAGAATGACTGAACCACCGCTCTGGCTATAACATGAGTTCGTTGAAATCAGTGAACCAGATAGCAAGTGGGCCGCCCCTCGCCCCGCCCCTGCAGTGTTGAGAGCGCCCATCGGAAGTGTTGAAGATTTCCACTGCCCACCGGAAGTAATTTGCGAACTGTTTGAGACCTTGCGTGTTGCATGCCGGAGAGCGCAGCAAATGCATTACACAGCTTTATCTTATGATCATCAAGTGCATCTAGGTGCATGGACATGATTCAAAACATTTTGATCGCAACAGCGGCATAGTAAAATATTTTGACTTACGTTGATCAACGTTCTATACAAACCATATATTTCCTCCACTTTTCACTATCAATTAATCACTTGGCAAAGGCTTTTCTGCTCATGATGCCAAAACTCCTGGCTAGTCGCCATAAGTTACAAAATTTTGCAGCAAAGTGCTCACCTCTCCTTTCCTGAGGCTGGCCTGACCAAAGTGCCCGCAACTAACGCTAATTTATCATCATCTGCTATGGGCAATCGTAGAACAAACTGCTTTCTTGGTAGCCTCTTCTGCTTACCTACCGTAGTCCAACGCACTGATTCAGAAACCACTAGAGGGCGTGAAAATGGCAAAAAGCAGCATTTCCTTTGCCCTCTATATTAATTTGGACGAACGGAGCAGTTCCCCCAGAGTTGGAGACACAGAGTCATTCGTTGCGAGTTTCTTATGGTTGTAGCATCAGACCATGCCGTCTTCGACAGCGAGAGGATCGCGTGCTTGTTTGGGCTAAGAATGGCTTACGCGCGCACGGGTTTGGGGGCAGTTTGTTGGCAGGGGCAGCATACTGCGCTCGGATGGCTCCGTTTCTATATCTAAAGTGCAACCTACCACAACGAACTTCCGAAAAATGTCCAGTTCTGCCGGCCATTGCCTTTGTGCCAAAATTTACGGCTAGATAAAACTTGTTTTATACTGCAACGACAGCCCTAATCGCACTGATCCATCTGGGATGCAAACAAAGTCCACATATTCTTTAATTTCATTTGAGGTCGTAGCAGGCTCTCAACGAAAAATTTAGGGTTGTTTCACACTGCTACATTGACCGCAATGACGGCAGCGGGCGCCGCATCCGTACTTAAAGGCACCGTCCACCCAAAATCTCGAATTCAATGTTTTTGTTGCCTTCAGGCCTTCTGTAAGCCCTGATTCCGAATATGGAATCGAAAATCCGCGAAACCCCCAAAAATCCCTGTTTCGAGAATCCTCTGCAACAAGCGCAGGCGAGATAAAGCATGCAAGTGGGCGGGACGACTAGAGTCGCCCCGCCTACTTTGCTACTTCCGAAGCGGATTTCTCGCTCCAGAAGTCTTTTGCGGCAAAGCTTGGAGGTTTGTCTAGTATGGGGGCCCACACTAGCTGCCATCATAATCTCGCCAACCTCCATTTTGGGTGGACGGTGCCTTTAAAACAAAGAGCGACCGCGATACCTTGAGGCGCTTTGAATTACACCAAAAAAAATCAAATGTTCAATTTCACTCGTTTTGATCGATTTGCTTGCGTTTCTTCTGTTCACCTTTGTTTTAGTTCCTCGTGGTACTATAATATCTGTTTTTCATTCGATTTTCTGCCTGCTGTTTGTTGTTCTCCCTGTTTGGACTCATTGTCCCTTAAAATTCTTGCGCCTTTGATGTTGATGTTGCCAGATGCAACAGGCGTGTGCAAATTTACAATGCTTCTCTGCAATCTCTCACCCTCCACAAGTGATATAGTGTGAAGAATAAATGCATGAGGCAAATAATGGTCACTAGTATGGCTTTACAGACTACGACAGTCACTGACAAGCAGCCTTACTTGTCGTGCAGCTCTCACATGCACTGAAGCAATGTATAGGGCATTCAAAAATCGTGACGGTGGCGCGGCCGCGCGCGACACGCACTTCCGGCAATCGCATTTTCTTGGTTTCATCTCTACTTGGATGGAGTTTCTGCTTATGGATGACAGTATTAAGACACAAAAAGTGAGTGAGCTGAGCGTCGAGGTGTTGCCTTCTTGTATGAGTGTTTTGAGCTGCTGTGGTCGCAAAGAACGCAGTCAAACCCGTCGTCACGATCCTAAAAATTGACCTATACCCTTCGCTTCATCCAATCGGCGGTGGAAGGCGGGGCTCTGTGACCTAATTAAGGCTAGAAAATGTCAGAGAGCATTTTCGCCAGGGAGGTGCACACTGCGTTGAGGACGCGAGCTAGGTCATGAAGCCACGCCTTTCAGCTGCCGATCTGGTAGCACAGGGTGAATTACTCCTCACTGTACTATTGTAACAGACCAACTTACAGGGCGACAGATTACCGGCTTATTATAAGTCATTGTGATTATTGAACAACGCTAGTAAAAATAGAACCAAACGTATGCATAACATTACAATGATTTAAAACATACATGAACTTGCTAAAGACGTATAACAGAATTCGAGTGAAATGAGTGAAATGATGTTTCTAGGCGTAGTTACTGACTCGACGTAACTGTGGACGCTTTTTTTACGGATGCAGCGGCTGGGAACGACCCTAAAGTTTCCCATAAAAAACCTGTTAGGCTCAAATAAAATGGTGATTATTTGGACTTTGTTTGGTTAAGCGCTGGACCAAATGGATCCTAGGCGGTAGGAGTCATTTAAATCAAAAAACACTCAGATTTGGTCATCTAAGAATTTAGAATTTCCATGTTACACTATATTGATTAATCGCAGTTCTAATTTTCGGAATTTTTCTTCTATTTGATATGAATAAGAGACAGCCGCCGAGACTTGATTTTTGATAGAGCATTCTATCTTTATTTCTTTTCACATAGCCCTTGTAATGTTTTATTGTCAGAGGGCGCGGATCACCGACCTACCGATCTTCAGTGGCGGGAAGAAAAGCCCGCGCTGACCCCTTCGGCAGGGTATAAATAGCGGGAGTCAGGGGGAGTCTCAGAGACTGCGCTGAGGAAGCGCTAGCGGGAGCTAAACTCCGTCGAAGAGAGGCGGATCTCCCCCCTAGATAGAGAGTATCCAGTAAACCTGCCGAAGAGGTCAAAGAGGGTAAAGCCCGCTGTTTCGCTGTTAAGCTTGTTCATGTTACACGTTCTTTTTTCTTGTTGTTCGTTGCCGTTTTTCTGAGATAAACTATTAGTCGTTCAATCCGTGTAGTCTATCGATCCGGTTGAAACCGTTATACCACTAGACACCCCCGGTTACATGGGGGCCGAGCAGACCTGGATCGATTGAAATACACACGGGGCGACTGATATCGACTGTCTCAGAGGCAAGACAGCAGAGAACGCGTAGAACAGGCCAAGAAGGCGAAACCAAAAGACCAAAAAGGTGGGAAACTATACGTAATCGAGCAGGTGACGTATGTAACAGGCCAAGAAGGCCAGATCTAAGATCAACTGGAAAAAGTCTCTATCATATCATACAGAGCAGGCAGTTAAGGTATAAGGGGGAAGTGATTATTGATCAAATCATCTACGCTTAATAGAGGCGTGAGTATCGATTGTATTGACTCTCTTCGATCAGCTGAGACGCGCGACTTCGCGTGCGGCGTTGACTACCGATGAATGTAAAGGCAAGGCGAAGCATTTCGCTGCCGAGTACACTTATGTTCATGGATATGGATCAAAAGCAAAGATGTGCAGATGATATCCATGAGAGAAAAGCACACTTGATGATGGAGGAGATAAGCCTCATCAGAAAAGAAGTGGAAATGCTACCTGGGATGGTAAGCAAGGTCCTTAGCCGATGTAGGATACCGGTTGATGGATTGCCACTTGAAGAAGAATTGAAGGCTAAGGTAGCCACAGTGTTAGGTAGGCTGGAGAACCTAACAGCCGAGTTAAACCAGATACTCGGTCCCAGAGCAACGGCAGTTGCAGTGAGGGAAGGGAGTGTGTTGAGAGGGTCGGAGGTCGGACCACTCGACAATCATCGAGGTGTGGAAAATCAGATGCTCAGCTATTTTCAAAGCATGACCTTTCCTGATCCTGGAGTCTTCAAGGGCTGTGATGATGAGGACTTTGACAGATTCATTCGGAAGTTCAAAAGAATGTATGGCACCATTGCCCAGGATGAACAGTTGCTGATAGAGGTCCTGGGTGATGAACACTTGCAAGGACGAGCAAGGTCCTTATTTCTGAGCATACCCATGGGGGTAAGACAGCAAGGCTTTGATAGAGTAGTGAGGGAGATGGCTTCACTACTGACCTGTGACTCCACAGCAGCTAGGTTAAAGGCGCTGACAGCCTTAAGGAACATGCGCTTAAGGCCAGGCCAAGAGGTTGCAGACTTCTGTATCGCCCTTGAGAATCTAGCAAGGAGGGCCAATCCTCAATGTAGTATTGAGGATAGATCCATGGAGTATGCGCAGATTCTACTGGAGAATCTGACATCATGGCCGGAGTACGTACAGCTGGTGGGAATCCTACACCAGGTGGACCCAGCTGAGGCATATAATAGAATAAAGGAAGTCGCGATTGAGATCGAGCAATCGCGAAGGTTCTGCAAATTTGAGAGGAGGAGTGAACAGCAAGCTCCGTCCTGGAGGAAAGCAAGTAGAAAGGAAGGCTATGTACCAGCTATGACCCAAAGTCGAAGCAGCTCAGCGGAGAGAGGCGAAAGGGAAGTTGGCATGAGAAGGCAGGAGCCAACGAGTAGCTCGAGTGCCTATGATGAGGATCAGGAAGACAAAAGATGCTTCAAATGTGATCATTTCGGACATGCCATGAGAGATTATAAGCACAGAAAAATGGAGAAGGAAGGCGTCATCAAGACTTCGAATGGAGTGACATCAATGATAAGTAGGAGCCGGAACATGATTGTAAAGAGCTCCCAATCCGACGCACGCGGACTTGTGGGCAGAATCATATTGACTCAAGCGAGAATGTTTGGAAGAAGGGTTTCGACACTTCTAGACACGGGATCAGAGATAAGTATACTATCCGTGAGCGTGCTTATAGAGGCGAGGAACAATGGGTTCGGTGTCGAATCACTTCAGACCTTCGACATTGTGGAAGGGAGCATATACGATGCATCCAACCATGTGATAAACTTTCTCGGAGGTGTAAAAGTAGAAGTTGAATTAGAAGGTGGATGCAAGAAGGAAGTGGCTTTTCATGTTTCCGACGATAGGAGTGAGGAAGTACTCATTGGCACAAATGCACTGAAGGGTCTAGGGGTGGAAGTAGTGATACTTAAGAAGCCTGAAGTCAAGGTAAAAGCAGAGGATAGGATGGTGCCTTTACAGAAGAGAAACACGGCCTCAGTGAGAGCGAAGATACAACAAGGTACCATAACTGTGAACGGATCTATCCCAGAGAAGGACAGATCTGTAACTGTCAACAAGAAAACTTTCATTGAGAGAAAAAGAGATGTCAAAGCAGACAAAGGAATCTGGCCAGGGGAAGCTTGTGAGCGCAAGTGGAAGAAGTCGACATGTAGGAAGGGCAGCAAAAAGCACGCTCCTTCCAGAAGTGATCGAAAAATGTGCGGAGAGGCACAGAAAGGAGCTAAAGTTCAGAAGACAAGCAGTAAGAAAGGACAAAGTTCTGAGAAGGAACGTCCTGTTGCGTTTATTGCACCGAGATGTGCAACATCATTTGAGGAAGTTGGGCTGAAGAAGTGTGGAGTACTGACCAAGGTGGCAGTATCATTCAGTCAACTCAAAGAAGCGTTGAAGTAGAAGAACTGTCGTATGTGGATCATAGTATGGCCCATGAACCCAAGAAGGGAGGATGAGGCTATCATTGAGACATTGCGGATATGCAAGAAGTACCTCGAAAAAGGAGGAAAGATTGTATCCGTGTGGCCGCCACCACTGTTCAAGAAGATTGGTATGTGGAAAACGAAGTCGAAAGTGTGGTCGGTGATTGAATCAGTACTGAAAAAATGGGCAAACCCAAATCAGTTGTTCACGTTGGATCCCTCAAGGACAGAAATTGGGAACGTGAACAGAGAAGCAGATGGACCCGAAAAATTCTTTTCAGGTATACGACACGCATTTCAGGGACTGATATGCGCGCTACCACTACAACGAAATTCGCAGGAGACTTCCCGGTGCAAAGCTCAGCAAGTTGCAGCAGCCGCCGAGGACGTCGGCTCCCTGGAGGGGGGGGGGATGTCAGAGGGCGCGGATCACCGACCTACCGATCTTCAGTGGCGGGAAGAAAAGCCCCCGCTGACCCCTTCGGCAGGGTATAAATAGCGGGAGTCAGGGGAAGTCTCAGAGACTGCGCTGAGAAAGCGCTAGCGGGAGCTAAACTCCGTCGAAGAGAGGCGGATCTCCCCCCTAGATAGAGAGTATCCAGTAAACCTGCCGAAGAGGTCAAAGAGGGTAAAGCCCGCTGTTTCGCTGTTAAGCTTGTTCATGTTACACGTTCTTGTTTCTTGTTGTTCGTTGCCGTTTTTCTGAGATAAACTATTAGTCGTTCAGTCCGTGTAGTCTATCGATCCGGTTGAAACCGTTATACCACTAGACACCCCCGGTTACATACCCGTGACTACCAATCACTGCAAACCAGTGTGTCGGTGATTAGAAGGTAATTAGCATGCCTGCTGACTAACTACTAACTCGAACCACGCCTTGCGCAAATCACCAGTCTAGCATTGTCGGTTGCCATGACTATACGCGAACCTGCCGATGCGGTAAGTTTATAGCACTCCAAATTTGTATTATTTTAGCTTTTATCTCCAATTTTCGTATATCTTCAAAGGTCTCAAGATATCTCATAACTTGAATATCCTTTGCAAGTCAGAATTTTTCTATGTTCTTTGAAAACAAAGCGCAATTGGATTAGTCAATTACGCTAGCAAAAATCAGATATAAGTTTTTGACATCTGTGCGCAAGTTTGATAAAGTACTTACAGTACTCAAGCTCATTATTTCTTGTAGGAAGAATTCCGTGATTTACTTGCCGGACATTCTATAATTCAAGAGTATTAAACTGAAGTAACAATCACAATTTTGTTTCGATAGCCATCCCCAAGGGAGGTTGAACCATAGACTCACACTAACCTGATTTTATTTAGTGAAGTTGATTAGAAATGTCACAGAGTTTGGCCCCTCACTGAAAATACACGGATCATACTGAGTTTTAACCCTCTCCCCTTCACTTTCTTCTATAAAGTAGTTCGAGTAGATCGATTCCTTCAAAGCTATACAAGGATTCATTGATGAATTCGAAGATTTCTCTGGCTGTCCTCGAAATTTCAAACTTTGCATACCTTTTGGAATTTTTCGAATCAACGATGTGTTGATTCTTCCTCGATGTAGTCCGAAACAGAAGAGAAACTTCCATGCTGAAAAAAATCCATCTCTACCGAGTCTTATGAAATAGTGCGCGTTTTCTTTTAGAGTTGTACAAGCACTGCGTCACAAGCAATTAGCAAAGAACGCTCAAGTTTGTCATACTTGTCAGTCACATCAAAAGAGGAACTATGGATTGCTTTTTGGTTTCTCCTTCATTCCACTTTTTTCGGAGCAAATAAACGGTGTGGCCTTTCCACTTTGTTACTAGCTCCTACTGGACAAGGAGAAGAACTGAAATTATAGAAAGCCAGATAAAATATGTTCCTTGCATGTATAGTGAGGTGAATAAGGTGCAAGTTAAAGAATTAATGAGAATAATTGTACAGGGCCCGTCAGCAGAGATTATGCCGTTTCCAGCCAAATATGCTTAAACAAATCGTCTTACCAAATTTGTCAGATCACTTCTTTCAACATTTCGAACTTTGTAGAGAGTTCATTCCAATTCGTCAAATGCGAAATGACAACGAATTTGAACTAATTTCAATTTCGTAGCGGATAAGTTGTGACAACTTTTAGGGCACTGTTGCCATGGACGCGAACTAATGAGGGCTAGTGTTTCAGCCGTTCTTTTTTATAACAAGAGAAGTCGTAGAGCGTATTAAGCATTAAACTTATGATAATGAGGCTTTTTCTTCCCCAACTTTGAAAGGTTGCAGCAGTGCAAGGCTAAACAATGGCAAAGGATGCGCAGGGATTAGTAGACAGTGAGTTTCGAGTAGGAATCGTTACATTATTATCGTTCGTAAATCAAAATTCGTGAAGCAAAATTTTCATGCGGGACTGCCGAGCTCCTCGGAATACGGCCATTCTAGCCCAATCACAAAACTTTACCCAAACTCTTCGGGTGATTGGTCCACTAGAAATAAACCTGGCCAGCCAAAAGTTCAAACGCTTTCGAAAACGACCAAAATGGAGATGATAGAGGCACCTTCCTACGTTTTATAAAACTTTGAAAAGCCAAAATGATATAGCTAGTATGCCAATATAAGAATTGGTTCCGTCCATCAATATGATTCAGGGCAGAGACACAGTACAAATTAAAGTCTTAAATGGAAACAACTGCTGGTGTTTCTCTGGAGAAGCTGCAGCAAAAGTTATGGATGGAAAAGATTACAGTAACATACCTGTCAAACACTTTTTATATCTTAGGTGGAAAGAACGAACGAAATTATTCAGAAAATTAGATTCTAATAAATGAGCTTTTGAGGCAGCAAATCCCCTAGAAAGAGAGTGGTGTTACTGGAAATCGATATGTACAAGCCGCACTTTACGTGTGGATCAAGTATGATCTACAATAATCAAATGCGGTCACCAATAGCGCCAAGATCAAAATACTAGAATTTTTTGGCTAATTTATCGTGAAGCACGTGTGAGCCAGAAAGAGAGGATGTAAAAGATAATTTAACCATCACCAGGATCAGCTTCCTCAATAGATACATTGTATCATTTTAAGCTTTATCGATCTGAAAGTGTTAAGAGTGTGTTGACTAGCTTTTAACCTCATGCCTTACCAACTGGGCATTTGTTTTCACCATTGTTTCAACAGACTATACCTCAAACTTCTAGATTCATTTTAATTATTCTTTTCTCCCATTTCAGGATGAATTCGACGCTATTCTCAAGGAAAATCCCGATGCACTTGTGGTGATCGATTTCTATGCAACATGGTGTGGTCCATGCAAGATTATGGGACCAAAGTTTCAGGTATGCAATAAATGATTATAATCAGGGACTGGCCTCAGCTGGCAGCCAAGCTGGATATCGTTTTTGGGACAAAAAGCAAAGGAAATATTATTTTTGGGGGCGAAAAGATACAAAAATTGCAACGTTTTTTTCCTTTCTTTAATCCACGTTTCGTTTTTGAGATTTTTTTTTACTTTCAAGGTCAAAGGGGTCTTCGTACGAAATTTTTAACAAGAGGGTTCTTTTGAAATTTACCTGGTGTCAGCTCGTGCCGAGCCCTGATTAAACTGGGCCGCAACGCAGCCGCAGCGCATACGCAAGAGATGCATAATGAATTTGCTATCGTTTTTAATGTGCGGGTTTAGTCAGAAGCATTGTTTCAGAGATTGTCCAACGAATTTACGTCTGTGGTTTTTCTGAAAGTGGACGTTGATGAAAGCGTAAGCTTATGCATGGCAGCTCCCCCCCCCCCTCAGCAAATTTTTTATTTAGGAAGATATCGTGTCACGTTTCGATATCAAAGTCATGCCAACATTCGTTTTTATGAAGGGAGGAGCTCAAATCGTAAGTGTTCTTTTTTCTTTCCATTGCCCATGATAATAATTTCTCTAATTCACTTTTAGGACATGGTCGAGGGCAGCGTTGAAGATGATCTGCGCAAGAAGATTGAGAAATACAGTGAACACTCCAATGATATGTCACTGGAGAAGAAAAAAGAGTGAAAAATCACTCTATTATGTCGTAAATTATTTTTCTTTGTGTACTTTGTAAAGATAAAATTGTGCTGGTCACGCGCGTATATAGTCATATTTAGTATGAATGTCATACGGTCTCAGCCGGACACACACTGTGTAATCTGCGCGACCTTCCTTTCTCTCTTCTTCTCTGCCTCTCTTTGTCACATACTCTATCGAGTGACCTTTGTAACTCTGCGTCTGTACTAGTCAGCACACATCTTCACTCTTTCCGTCTGCATTTCTTGCAGAATCACACTCTGTAAACTTTGGGAGAGATGCAAAAGTCCGCAGCTACGGACATGCGTCACTGATCACAAATTAGTTAGCGGTGATAAGACGTAAGTTATTGTTGGTTTACTCTGCACATCACATTACTAATTCTATGCCTAGAAAAGTGTTCCGAAGTTCTGTAAAGTCTCGACAGCAATATCAATACATTCATTAACATAAGTATTATTTGCACTGTTGTCGTTGTAGCCAGGCGACACAGATCTGAACATATTACACAGGGACATAATAGAAAGAAAATCACAAAAGAAACTACATATCCTATCGCTCTAAAAAGTTTAACTTAATGTACATAACCCAGAAATATCAAAAAGACAGATATAAATTGTATATTATATATACACATGCACATATAGACGACGAGAAAATGATAAGCCGTACTTGTAATTTGCGTTTCTACGCGAAACGCGAGTATCACAGGAAAACAAAATAGGAAAAAATGACAAATAAAACAACTACTCACGAGCTAATGACAAAGCGCAGTGGGGGTTCATACTAGGCGCGAGCGACATTTCGACGCGCGATGTCGCGCACAAAACAACTAACAAGTTAGCTACAACAATGAAATTGATGTAAGAGTATAAAGAAGATAACAGGACCAGATATATTGGCAAAAAATTGAGTAGTGTTTTAAAAATGCTAAAAATCCCTTTCGAATCTAAGATACATAGAAAATCTGAAATAACATTTCTAAAAGGTCATTTACAAGATGAGAAAAAAGTAGAGACTGGAACTGAACAGCATTTAAAACAGCGTCGCTCTGCTATTATACTACGTAGGCGCGCGGGTTTTATTGATTTTGTCGCCAAGGTTTTTTAAGCACAGTATGCATAACAAGCGGTATTCTAATACGGATAAACAATGTTTAAATAATATGGGTATCAAAAAAAATTGAAAAAAAATCACTATGATCATCACGAACAATTCATCATTTCGTGCATTAGCGTGGGAACTCGTCCACACATAACGCGAAATGATTGACATTAGGCTGGGAATATGAACTAAGCGCTAAAAGATCAAATCTCTTTGTATCTATGGCACATACACGTAACCGGAGGGAGAGTGGGCGGTAAACTCGTACATTTGGTGTCAAACTCGTACAGTGGGCTCTACGTTATGATAATTCAGCAACGGTATACATTTCATCGGCTATGGACGAGTGATAGTCGTCCAGCGAATCGTCGCGGCTTCGCATAGGGGAGAGGAAGACGGGAGCGCGGCGTGCGCGTTCGCGTGCTTCACTGACAACACGCCAAATGCGGCAACTGGCTCCGCCTCTGAAACAAATGGGTGAGACGGGGGGAGGCAACTCGTCCAAATACGACTTACGTCACGCCTAGGTTCAGGAGTTCTTTTCTGGTGACAAATTCGAATATGTCTTGTTTGGTGTATTGCTCTGCTACAATCAAGCGTATCGAAGTGTCATCGACGTCCAAAGAGCGCAACCAAGAGACCAATTCTTCCGTAGCCCTGCATGGGAAAATTTTCATAAGATAACTCGCGAAAAAAATGGGCAATTTTCATTTCTTAAGGAATTCTTTGTTAATGAGCTTAGTTGAGTCATAATTTGACATTGTTACATTTTAAAAAAAAATTTGCAGCTACATACAAAAAGTTACGGAGCATGTTTTGGACCGCGTGATTCACCGTGTGCATCACACAGTCCAAACGTGCTAATTTCGACAAATTCTATCCTTCACTGGGTCACAACGTAAAAAGTCGTTCAATAGTTTTACCTGCTCACATGTCCATCGACCACATGGTTTGGAACGATTTTATGATTTTTGGTCGGGGACGAGTTGTTGCTATTTCGATGCACGACACCATTGGCATTTATTGGCGGATAAGTGCCGCGCCATGGACCACCTCGCCATGCTGAAAATAGACATGCGAAACATACATATCGATTGTGTGATTGTATCAATGATTTCCAACTGTTTGCAGAAAGAACAACAACGAATTCAAGAAACTCTGACTAGTGACTTTGGCGCGATTAACGCAGCAGGTAAGACCCATACTCTGTGAAAATCCAGAAAAATTTTTCTGATTATTGGCTTTAGCGCGACTAGCGCAACAATTTCCCAGCAGATCAACTCACTCGACATTAGACTCGCTGTCGCAGCTGCCATATCACGCATGCTTTGTGTCTGCGCAATTCCAGAAATCAACTGTTGCTTCAATTCTTCTTGTGCCTCAATTAACCTGGAGAAAAATTCATACCATAAATCTACGAAAAAAATTTGCTACTCACTTTTCTCTCAACTTATCATTGGTGTCAATGATGTTATTGAGATACTCCTTGCGTTCTTCGCGACGTTCTTCCCTCGACGGTGGTCGACTGGTACTTTCCGCAAGTTCCACTTCGGACGGACCAGATTCTCTAGAGACAGATGTTCGCTGCCCTAGTGATGTGGACATGGAGTTGACGTCTTGGACCTAGGAGAAACATTGGTACAGCGCAAGAGCCCCGAATATTTTGATTTGAACAAATTCATTCTGTTGCGGAAAATTTTAACAGCTGCATGTTCAAAGATGTAAACAGATACAGATTCTGCAGATGTATCGCTACCGTGACGTCAATATCGTGGAAAAGTTGAACTATCCAAACAGATCAGAACTAAATACGCCGAAAACCAGACCCCGTATGGATTAAAATTCTGCTCGTTGACATTACGTGTTCCTACGCAGATTTGCTTAGCTGCATGATTGGGATACAAACAGAATTTTTTTGCTATCGTATCGCAACTGCAGCATCAATGTTCAAAAGAAAGAGCTAGACAATTTGATTTGCAAAAATTGCGCACTCCATAAAACGGAAATCGAATATTTCTGCAGGGATAAATCTAACAACTATTAGACGATAAGGTAATCAATTGTTTCTGGGTTTTCCTAGCTAAATTTGATATTTTCCGGAAGCAGCCCCAGAGGCTATAATTTCGTTCGGCTTAGGCTTGTTGTCAGAACTGCATGTGGGAGACCCAGGATGTTCAGAGTACGGACACACTACCATTATTCAAGTTTCTTTCTCTCCAAATTCTAGCTAAAAAACAGCAAGTTCATTTCTGACATTCACATTCATATTATTTTCGAAACCATCCCACAAGTGGGAAAATCTAGAATTTTCTGAGACGAGAAAAATTTGGCGAAAATTCGATTTTGAATTTTGGGTTGACATCGAGGAGATATTTGCTTGAAAAATATCTAAACAAAATGCGCAAATGAAATGAAAAGAATGACAAGGTGCCGACCACAAATCATCAGCTACTAAAATTTAGATCCAAAAAAACATAGCAGGAGCAAATTCAAATTGCTCCGAAAAAAAGAACCTGTTAAAATTGCTTTCTTTCTGCTATAGAGAATGCCAAGAAGTATAAGAAAAGCAGATCAAATGTTCCAAGTAAATACAGAGCTTCATTCTTCTATAACAAGAATGTAAAATACTCACATGTAGCTGAGCAGAAACGTCGGGACTCAACAACGAGATAGCCGTCTGCACAGCACTTTGTATCAGATTTGAAAGTGCAAACATCCAGTGAGGTTTGATGTCCAGGCGACGCAGCACCGGCTGAATCGAGTCCGAAAATGTGAAGATCGCCATGTTCACCTGCAAAGCAACATCCTTGGTTTTCATGGACATGGGAGTATAGAGGGGGGGGGGGGGAGAGGAAGGGGGGGGGGGTGGAAGTGACAGCATAAACAGAGCGCATAAATTGGTATTATTGAGACCACGGAAAGTACAACAGGACAAATGTGATTGAATTTTGGCATGATAAACTGTCAGGATTTTTTCAAAACAACCATCAAAAATAATCCTTCGAATCATAAAATCGCCTTCGTATTTGAATATGAAGAAAGAACTAAAGGGTTTGATTGTCTAAGAAGTTTAATTCCATTGAGAAAATACCAGATATCAGCTCTCAAGTGAAAATCATTTTCAGTGATTCTTTTTCCCCCATTGAAGCAAATCCCTATCGCTTCATAGTTACAGTAGTTTTTGAATCCAAATACCAATGACTTTTCGAATTAGATTAATTTACCTTTTCCACATTTTCTAACTGCCATCAGTCTTTGTGCTAAACCATCAATGAAGTCTTCTAGTAAATTACTTTTTCAAGAATTTTTCACGTGTTTCTTTACAATAACAAAAAGCTTTTCATTATTCACGACGATTGATAGCTTTTAAGCTGAACTTACTTGCGAAATTTTTGCTGTATCGTAATCCAATAAACATCGAATCTCGTCCAGTGCATCTTGGATATGCTTTGTCTCCTTCTTCAGCAGGAATTCACGCATGCCATCCAGTAAAGTTTCTAGCATGTGCATGGTCACCTGACAAACAATCAATATATTGATTAATGATCGATACAGTCAGATATTGAGTTTATCCCTTACCACAACTTCGGCACTATCCATTGATGCAATTATTCCATGCATCCAGGTGTCTATTATCTGAAAAAAAATTCCCATTCAATTTCGCTTACAATCAAGATGTTGCCTGGATGGCAAAATACCTCGAGGAATTTCGAAAGTTTCATTCGTAAAATACGAAATTTGGTAGAACCTTTAGAAGATGCTAAATTAACTTACTTGCTCAGAGTAGTCCGACATAAATTGTGCCAGGGTGTGCCGCCGTTCCGAATCTTTTTTCAACATAAAGAATCTGAAAAGGCAACATTTGAAGAAACTTTGGAGCTATGAGTCTTCTCTGTTAAATGCGAATGCTGCACAAATATGATCAAAGTATCTCAAATTCTAGTTCCCAATTTCTAGTAAGGTATAAGCACCCATCGGTAAAATTTTATCAGATCTCAGGAATTCAAAAACTATGGCTATACTGTTACGGAATAAAGCGATATCTGGCTGAACTTGGATACTCATGACGAGATAGCAAAATTGCAATTGAGCTACGTCTACGTCGAAAAGGTTAACGACGAGAGCAGCTGGAATCTAATTTATTCGGCGCATTCGCAGACTTATCAACTCTTATCTTTCCACTAAATGGAAAAGTTTTCGCAAGTGAAAGGGCATAAAATCAAAGTTTGCAGAGAATTGTCGTAGTCCATGAGCTCATCAAAAACTTCATTTAAATCGGGGTAAAATCATCACATATGAGTTTTTTCTCAAATTATGATAGTGTATTTTTTGAACCAACTATCACTCTATATGATTTCCTCAGATTTTCTACTACATATGGAGAACGAAAAGAAAGGGAAGCTAGTCATGGAGGCACAAGACTTGGGAGGATAAGCCAAATTCAGCGATGCATCCACAAATGGAAACAGAAAAATGCCTTAGAATCGATTTTGCTGCATTCAAAATGATGGGGGCTTTACGATTGAAAAATTGCACATTTCCACGCTTTTCTAATCCAATTAACAAACCAGAACAAACGCGTCAGACTTTCCAATCGATATATCGATTGGTTACAAATCTACCCACCTATTTGAGCTGTTGGCGCTCTCGTCCGAGATTGTTCTATTTAGTAACGTTGAGTTTCCAGGTCGATTTATACAAGGTGATGGGACAAGTTGCGGGTGCGTGTTGTCATCAACTATGGGGCTAAAAAATCAATGAATCGATTTTTCTCTTATCGGAGAGCTAAATGTGTACCTGGAGGGTTGACTAAGCGGGAAACCAGGATGTGAAACTGTAGTTCCGGCACTCATCGAACCATCTGGCACTGGACTACATGATATCGTACGAGTTCGGCTAGATCTAACACATTACCATGTTTTAACCAGATAACCGGGACTACCGTAAGACTACCGTACTTGTTATCAATCATCAAATGTAGCTTCTTCTCTTCGGGGACGGCTGATTGCGGTGTGACGGGCATCTCGACCGATTCGCGTTCGCTGATGCCGATGCCTCCAATGTGTGACGTGGAACGGAGCATTTCTCAACAAGTAGCAACATGGATGCGGTGAGCGCGCAGCGCTTCTATTCTGGGTGTGACGTGGACAGATAAGCTAATTTGCGTTCATACTCCCGCGATCGGTGCCCGCGAAATTCAAATGCTCGCCGCACGCGGTCGCTCAGCGGCATCAATTCATACCGGATCACAGAGCAAGTCTGAACGCATACATGGGCATACTATAACAGGAGAGAAAGCTTAATTTTTCACGTTTCTTGCGAAAAAAAATTGTTCAAAAATGGCATTGACAGTTAGAAAAAAACTTAATTTGAGAACAAATTCACAAAATTCGGCAAAATTACGAAAAAGAACTGCAGAGTAAATCTCCTGCTAAAGCATGGTCTAGCTTAGAACGACACAAACACATCACAAGCACAACGATATGCGGAAGCGAAGCAGAAAAGCGGAAGCAAAGCTATTAGCCATGAACTTCTGGGACAAATGGGCGGCAGAGCAGGAAAAGAGTGAATTTACGATGAAAAATTATTCAAAGTTAATGAGCGTATTAACTTTAGAATTCAAATCCCACTCAATTCTTTGATCCTTTCATAAACTGGAACAATTAGATTTGTTCCCCGTTTTTGCTACTACAATCTCAACAGTAATGTGAATACAATTTTTGACGTAAACAACAGCGCGAAATCAAAAAATAGGCGAGATAATGGCCTACGTCACACTTGTAGCCTATTACATGAAATGTGCCTATCCCATTGGCGTAAAAATTGCATAAAAAATAAAACTTCTAGCATATATATTGAGCTAACAGATTCAAATTTGCTCCCAACTTAAGCGCAAGTTTCTGGAACTTGAAAACAAAAAATTTTGCTCCCTGGAGCATGGGAAGGGTCGATCTTTTTCAAAGGGGCCTAGTTTGACGGAAAGAGTTTTCTAAATATAGATGGGCACAGTTAGGTTGATTACAGCTGGTGTTTATATGAAAAATAATAGTCTGGGGCTGTGTTTGCAGTGGATCGGCAAAATGGACCTTCTCGGATTTTGGTGAAATTATGTAATAGCCCCCCTAACTTCCATTGAATGGGCGGGGCCGGTGAAGTGTTAAAGCCCATTTTTCAGGACTTGGCGCATGAATTGGAAGAAGATGGGCTACAGTGTACTTGGGGGGGGGGGCTACTATCTGACACTACCAGAATCCGAGAAGGGTCCATTTTGCCGATCCATTGCTTCTAAGAAAAAGAGAAAGAGCGGTGACTATTTGACCTGTGAAAAGTCACACCTGCCCAAAGCCAAGAAAATATACTTCAGAAACTCTTTCATAGAGTGCGCAATATTAGAAAGTGAAGAAATTGTGCCTATTTTTGATCGAGTAAAAAGCAAAAACACAATATTCTTCTGCGGACTACTGATACAAAAACTATACCGAGCATTGCGGCTTGTGCCAGCAGTCGTCGCGGGCGGAGCCCTACGCTCATACAGAGTTGGTCATGCAATTCAGTCTACGGGAAACAGCAGAAAATTCCAAGCCCCTTTTTCGTTCGCCCCTAATCTAGAGTAGGGTTGCTAAGGACAGGTAAAACTTCGCTTGGTACACCACACGACAGTATAACAACACGTTACGCCACTTACAGTATCCATGAAGCTTAGAAAATCAAAATTACCTCGGTGTTTGACATGGTCGAGCTGTTTCTTATTCATCGATCCACTACGGGTTCGGGAGATCCTAGAAGAATTGCCGAATTTCAAAAGTCATGCCATTGCATCGTTTTGTCTAGCAGCTTTGGACGAGTTGTCCGCTTTGTGAGAATACCGTTCAAGAATGTAAACTTACGAGTGATGATATTGCTGAATAAACGGATCGTTTAGTAGCTTCAAAGCGCCCGGCCGTTGAAGCGGATCCGGTTCGAAGCAGCTGGAAATAGATCGATCATGCAGTAAAAAAGAAGGACAACTGCTACAAAGGACAGAAAAAGAGCAATATAGGAAGTGACTAGAAAACAATTTCTTCACTGTGTAAAGGTCAAAGAATAACAGATCACAAATGAAATATTGGGCAAACATTATAGGAAGTAGTTGGACAAGTACCTCTTAATGAAATGTCGACATTTTTCAGAAATATCCTGAGGCAATGGCGGATGGGTTTTGAACATTCCCACTCGGAACATGGCTGCTTGTGGATTTTGCATCTGAAAGTGCATAGATTATTCTTGCAAATGGGAACCCACGCCCTCCGAAAAAACTGCCACGCCCTTTCTTCCACTTACCTCCACGAATGGAGGTCGTCCCGTAGCCATTTCGACCATAGTACACCCAAAGCTCCAGATGTCAGCTGGTGCACCATAGCCACGCTGTCCATGATCGATCACCTCGGGTGCCATATACTGTAGCGTTCCTGCAGAGATAAAGTATTAGCTCCGCCCATCACAGGACGACTTTACGCCTCCAAACCTGTAAAGGTCTCAGTAACCGGGTTCAGTCCAGCAAGTCGTTTGCATGTGCCAAAATCGCTAATTTTGCACACTCCACTGTACGTATTCACCAGCACATTGTCACCTTTGATGTCACGATGCACGATTTTTTGTTCGTGGAGGTACCTAGGAATAGTGGTGATTAAGATTTGAGGCATACCATGGCAGGAGCACACTTACCGTAATCCATCCAAGATTTGTTTTCCATACAGAACCATCGCTGGTTCGTTCAGTGGTCCCCATTTGGAGCGCAACAAGCTACTTAAACTTCCTCCTGGCACATGTTCCATGAAGATGAGGAAGACATCGTTACCGGTATCTCTACAACGAGAGGACTAATCGATTCATTGATTGATCAAGAGCTTGCAGGTGGCATATTATTTAGATTCAATCGATAATAGTTTGTCTTTATTTACCTATGCACTACGTCGCAACCAAGGTACTGCACTATATTCTGATGACTGAGAGTTGAATGCAGATTGATCTCTTCCATGAGCGGTTGCACCTAAAGTGAGACCTCACATCAATCAATAAAATCAATATATGACTCGATAGTAAATGCGCACACAGTAAAAACGACTGACTGGATCGATATATTGATTACCTCTTCATCGTATTTGACTTCTATTTCTTTGACGACAATTTGTCGCTGAGTCGTCACATCTCTTGCAGAATATACTACACCATAAGTACCTTTTCCAAGCACGACACGATCACCACTTGAGTTCAACTCGTACTCGAACTGGAAAACTCGTCCAGATTAATTCCAACAGGGTTCGGGGCTCTTCTTGGGATACTTACATGCATCTTTTCTCCATCCAGGTTGGAAAGGACTTTGCCTTGATTGCCATCTGCTTCGGTCATTTCCATAAGGGTATTAATTACCCTAAAATACATGAAATGTTCTCAAATCAACTCCAGCAAGACAGGACAAATGTCACAAACTTATTGCAATGTGCTGCCGATGGGAAGACCAGATTAAAATCGTCCGAGTTCTCGTGCACATAAAGGAACATTGACCGATCATCACGTTTCGATGCTGAGACGGCTTTGATGTTGCCAGCGGTAAAGTGCCATCGATGGATACCTAAAACTATATAAGAAAACCGGATCGAGATTCATGGGAAAAATCGATATATTGATCCATAATTAGGAAAAGTGGACGTGTTACCATGTGAAAGGCATACTTACCAGGTGGCGGTTTCTTCTGTTGGCTATTTTCAAGCACATGACTCAAAATCATCGATCGTTCGGTAACATTCAGGGTTAGGTAGGATGGTGTGAATTGCTAAATAATTTTTATCAACAAGATGAACAGCCACTCTTCAACATAGATCGGAAAATTACCATAGTGTCGGAAATCATAGAAACTTCATTACAAGCCAAGCTAATTTTTTCAACCAAAACTTACCTTTGTAAGTTCCTGAATCAACACTGGGAATCTGGCACAAGTAACATCGCTTTCAGAATCAATCGCTTCCATGAAGAATTCTGACCAAAACAGGAACTGTTGTTTCTCCTAAAAGATCAAAAATCAGGAAATTATAAGCATAGGTCAAAAGTTTATGGTGAATAACCTTTTCTATTGGACTTATCGTAGCGGCACATCGATTGATCAGCTTGATATTTTCCATAGTGGATTTTAAGAACCTGAAAAACTTCTTTATTTTCTTCAAAAAGCTTGGTATATCACAACGAATTCGGAAGGTTATCATCCCTTTCCTCCTTTTCAAGAAACATGATCAGGAAAACTAATAAAAATATTTCTTACCAAACTGGCGGTTTCAGCATAGCCATTTTCAAGGCCGCCTCACAAGCTTTCTGGTAGTTTTCGGCGAGCACAGACACCTGAAGGTGATACGGTATGGATACGGTACATGCGATGTTATTATGACAACTCCATGTACAACATGCAATACAATTTTATGACATAAAGAGACGCCTGCACTTTCTAAATTTTTTGAGATGCAAATGGTTTGAATTTCGGAACTAGGCAAACATTTCCAAAAACCCAATCACTATACCTCAAAATAAGTGGCGACATCCCAATAGTCAGTCAGTTGATGTAAAGCGCCTTTTCGTCCAAGTAGCGAATTCAACACAACAGCTGAAACGAAGAATAATTAGATCATGGGTTGACTGCAAGTCATATGAATTTCTCGAAGTTTTTGCATTCTTAAGAAAAGTTATTGTATCTATGTTGAAAGAAAAAGACGTGTCATAAGGAAAGGGAAAAAATCAATAGAAAAACTTAACAAGTAGATAAGATAAATGTCAACTTCAACCATTGAATGTTTTTATAAAAAAATTTCAAAAATTCTAATTACCGATTTGTTGCATCTCAGCATTGCTCTCGAAGTGTTCGCCGCTAGCTCGAAGCAATGTTGTCAGATTAATTCCACTATGCTCTAGCGGGGACATTTCGAAGGCCTTACGGTACCTAAAAATCAATATATCGATTGAATCAAATCGCACTCGTTCTCTATCTCACCATGATACCGCATTATTTAGTGCTTCACGATCTTCATAATTGCTCGCAATGAATTTATCTTTGTAAATTCGACCTAGACGAGGTAAAGGTTACCCAAATATCCCGGTAAGGTAAAATTCAAACCTAACCTGCCAAGCATATAACATCCGGGCTGAGTGCTTCTTTATCGGTTGTTGATTCGATGATGTTGAGCACGGTATTCAACGAACGTTCGCGATCACCTTCCCTGTTTCTCCTGCAAGCATTATCGATTGATATCGATTGGTGGACTCATTTAGAAGAGTTTACCTTGCTAGGGCGAATGCAAATTGATACCGTATGACTTGGGTCTCGATAAGGGTGCAGTCTTCAATACGGCTAAGGTCTTCGACAAGACTGATCATGCCATTGTAGTTCTGATTGTCTCTGGAACAGTACGATAAACGATAATTTCACTATTTTTACTCCCCCTCCCCCTCTCTCTCGTGCTCACTCTCCCTCTCTTTCTCTCTCTCTCTTCTCTCTCTCTCTCTCCCTCTCTCTCTCTTTCGACAGGGGCAAATTAGCGGATGCACAGCATAGGAGCCTCACATTTCCACAGATCAAAAAAACTTGAGCAAAAACCATGTGTTTTGAGCAAACTAAAACTGCAATTCCCAACCCCCCCCCCCCCATCCCTCCCCCTCAGTATATTTCCACAGCTGCGATTGCGGAAAGCATAGCTCAGTTGGATTGAAGTTTTTACGGATGAAAAAAGCCAAACAAAATCCTGTATTTTCTGCAAGAAAAACATATGGGAACTGCAGAGTGGGTAAACACATACGAAAGCGTTACCCGAGCAGCCCCAGGGGGTTTTCTATCATACAAATCTGCAGAAGAAGTCAATGAACATGGATGTAAAGTGAGTTTTAACTAAATCTGTAAGCCTGCACACTATGCGTGACACCCGACGACACTCTTACTAGTAACTCCTCAGTAAAACCTCTTCTAGCGTAACTAAATCCAAGAAATGCACAACTAACTAATACAAATTTAATCAAAGTAAAAAGCCAAGGGAAGACCAGTGGAAACAGCAGTTTCTAATCTTACTAGTCGTCAACGACGCGTATTGTGTGCAATAGCATATTTAGTTACAAATGACTGAAGGATATGTAGAAGAAAGGATGCTATACCTGTACGAGATCATCAATTGGTGTACGGTATCGACAGAAAGTACGTCGGGATTATCGAGTCGACACCGCATTTTGTCCAAGAAATCGTTCGTCTCGTTCACATCGGTAATTTCGCGAGCTTTTCGTAAATCAGATAAGAATTTCTCACGAGAATGTGCACTGAAAAAGTGAGATTAGTGTTTCTAAAACTCTTTATAAGTCGAAAAAATTGTAAATACCTGGCCTCGATTTGCACACTTTTCAACGATGCCTTTAGACGCGATTTAAATGTGACTTTGTTCGGACTTTTGAACTTTGCATCATCGTCAACATCACGCTTGCTTGGCTAAAAAAGAGAGAGTTATTTTCACATAAGAATGTTTAAAAAAATGATTTTTCATGAGATGATCAGGAGTTGCAAAAATAGAGTGGAACAGATTATAGTATAATCAAAAAAATCTTTGCTAATGAGTGAGGTGAGGTTATAGAAAGGTTATAGAAATTTATAGATTATAGAGGTTATAGAAATTCTTCTGTAATGCGATAAAATCATAGAATAAAAATGACGAGCATACAAGTAAAAATATTATTCTAACGTGGAGCAAACTGATTTCGGACTGGAAATGTAAATGGCATTATTTGATTTTAGGCGGTAGCATGCACTCACTAGAGCTAATTAAAATGGCAAGAATTTAATTACAACATTCTAAAGCATTTTGCTTTGCCACTGATTCAGTGCTCAACACATTGAATTATTGTAGAGTGTAGAAAGGAGGGGTTAGGAGGGGGGGGGGGAGGAACGTTGTGGTGCTTACGCTTCGAAGGACTGTCAAGATCAATTAGTTTATCTAAGAAACAATTAGATAAAATCTCTTTACTTGGAACAAAAAACAGAATAACAGCAGATTTTTTTTTGCTGAAAAACACTGATTATAAGAGTACTTCTTAAATAAATTATTGCAAAACAAATATAGCACGCATTCGTAAAAAATGAAAGTATATAACGTTTGATAATCCAAGAATTGCATTAGGCACCGCCTATTACGCCCCCTACTTTTTTTCCCGCGCAAAGGAGTGAGCATGCTCTCTACGCTCCACATGCTCTCTCACGACAGTCTGACTGCGTCGTCAAGATAATCATTCATGCGCGTAAGTACCTAGCATTTTCGAACATTTTCGCGCACTTAAAAATCCTAATTCGATTATTGGAAGCCAAACGCGGAAATTCAAAGCGGAAATTGCTGTTTCAACAAACGAAATTTCCGTGGTTATCGAATTTTTTTGACTTACATGTGGCAAATATACACAGGCGCAAATGTAGTAGTTTTAGCCCTACATACCTGCCAAAATTCCATTGCTCCAAGCGCTGTTCAGTCGCTCGGAACTAAAAATACTCAGACGCTCTAGTCAGGACCGACAATGACAGGACTAGGCTATTTCAAGTTATGAAATTGAAAGGTATATATTGTTCGAGCGGCAAGTTCCGCCTATACGATGACTCTCGCGATTGTGCGATAGATATAGCAACAAATATGATCCATACACAGAGCAGATGACGCGCATGCACCAAGCACACATAAGCATACGTCATCTGCCTGGGAAACACACCTATCGGAGGCTAGCAAGAGCCATGATCAAGATGAATTTTTCAGTAAGGAGCGCATGAGGAAGGTGGGAAAAGGGGGGGGGGGGGGGAAATTGACTAGGTAAGTTATTACGAAAATTGGAAACACGAAGGAACAGCAAGAAAAGCTCTCTAACATAAAACAAACTTTATAAACTGAGAAAAAAGTTCTTTGGAATTCTCAAAATTTTGAAGGACAGTTACCTTCACTGACACTGATACAACAATACATAGCAGAAATTCAGAGTAACGGGTCTTTCGCAGAATTTTTAATCTACATATATGGTTGGTAATTAGATAAAGGGATGCATTAGAAGAAAGAGTACGTGGAAAGGGATGCCTTTTTTCTTGCCTAAGGCCCGCACCCGAGACGGGAGGAAGACTTCATCATTCATATTTCTCAATTATGAATTATCTTAGATTGATTTTTATATACTCGACAAAAGTTATACCAATCAACTCTGCAAAATCTAAAGTTATCTTTGCGAAATTATCTGCCACTACTTATGACATCACTTCAACATGTTAATCCTCTCTTTAATGATATCATTCATATTTCAAAGCAATCATAAGCCACATTAATCTCCTTAAAAAAATTTTTTATCTTTTATTCATAGTGCTTTGGGCGTCTGCTGCTGATTTTCTCATAGTTCTCTTTCATGCTTATAAGATGATGTCATATATGTGAGAATGCAGCGCTGTAAAGGTGCAATAAATCTTGGAAAAACTTGCTGATAAGCTTATTTTCTCATTTCCCAAGATAACGCTCTAGTGTTGCAAGAAAGAGAAGATGATTTCACAACGACCACAGTAATTCCAGTTAAAGATTTTTTTGACTATGATTAGCAATGAATTTTTGTGCAAAAGTAGTAACGTTTGGTTCCAACTATGAGCCTAAAAGCTATTATTTTGCTGGCGAAAAGATTTTCAATATGCCAGCCTACATGAATACCCGAATACTACAATAATGTGATAACAGTCAGACATTCCGCATGAGTACTGTAAAAATACGATAGCAGGCAGATTGTCACACCGCCACAGCTATTGCTGCAACTGCACCTATATACAGGGTGTCCCAAAAAGATGTGCACACTGTTTGATTTTGAATAACTATTTTGTATCGATGTTTCTTGCGGATCTCAAGGTACCATATAAAAGGGCTAGGACTAACTTAGATTTACAGTATATGGCGAATTAGCGATCTCCACTCATTACTGTAGGATTATGGTAGAAATTTCGGAGTGGTTTTTGGGCCTTTGACGGGCAAAAAAGCGTTGAAAAAATTCTTAGAAAATTGGAATAGGCACATTGAGGTTTCTACGGTAGGTTACGGTAGAGGTTGATGTCGCAATAAGTTTCTGCATCCCCAGGAACCTTAATGTGCCTATTCCAATTTTCTAAGAATTTTTACGCTTTTTTTGCCCGTCAAAGGCCCAAAAAACAGTTCAAAATTTCTACCGTAGTCCTACAGTAATGAATGGAGATCGCTGATTCGCCATATACTGTAAATCTAAGTTAGTCCTAGCCCTTTCATATGGTACCTTGGGATCCGCAGGAAACACCGATACAAAAGAGTTATTCAAAATCAAACAGTGTGCACATTATTTTGGGATACCCTGTACAACTATTGCTGTAACTACGACTATACACAACTATTGCTGCAACTGTGACTATATACAACTATTGCTGCAACTGCTACTACATACAACTTATTGCTGCAACTGCGACTATACAACTATTGCTGTAACTGCGACTATACACAACTATTGCTGCAACTGTGACCATATACAACTATTGCTGCAACTGCTACTACATACAACTTATTGCTGCAACTGCGACTATACAACTATTGCTGCAACTGCGACTATATACAACTATTGCTGCACTGCGACTACATATACATCTTATTGCTGCAGCTGCAACTATATAGACCTACTGCTGCGACTGTGACTATATACAACTACTGCTGCAGTTGCGACTATATACAAATATTGCTGCAACTGCGACTATATACAACTTATTGCTGCAACTGCAACTATATACAAATACTGCTGCAACCGCGACTATACGACCATATTGCTGCAACTGCGACACCTGCTAGATAAGCAACTTAATCTATTTTACTTCAGATTGTAAAATGAATAAATTTTACTACATCCTGTGAAATTTTTGATTCAGGCATTTCGCCGACGTCTTTGCGAATGAAATTCGCATCTGATGGGCTGGAGCTATAATAATGTTGCGCAATAATTTGAAAATGTCAAATGTATTGACTTTTAGTCATCTTTTTTCGTTCAAAACGCTTACAAGCTGAACAAGGAGGAGAAAGAGTTTATAATGCAGCTTTGAACCAAATGTTAAGTCAAGTGAAGCAAATTTAAGCTTATATATAAAAGATCAATAAATCAAGAATATGTGACTACCGTAAACTTACGTTCATATTTCGATCATACGATTGCAGCGTATTACTCTCTGGGAATTTCATATAGACGATCATCGGAAGGTGGGCATGGGTTTTCTGAAACGATTCGATTCGGACGAGCTATAGCAGCTCCAAGCAGTATTTAGAAGACCAAAATAAAACGTAACATTAGTAAAAAGATTCTGCGATGGCTTCAGTGTCAGTTGCCTTTCCAAGACAGAATAAAAGGTTGGGGTCTCACGTCACCGTCAAGCATCCAGCTAGCTGGCTGCCCTATGGCACCACCTCTTCAAAAGAAACCGCGCTCGACTAAGAATAACTCCTAACTCACAAGAAAAAACATTCACTCAGACGAGTGCAGGCTTTTTCTAGCGCATTTCGCAAAGCGATGATGTCAGACAAACCTTGAGCGCATCGATGATGTGATATTCCGAGTCCGGAGCTATGTATGTCATGAGGATGTTGTACGACTGATTCATACTCTCACGCACACCTGAAGAAGTTGGATTTGGGAGAATGCCGGGAATGAGTAATGAATAACGTAAAAGAAGATTTAGTCATGTACCACTCATACCCCCAAAATGGCAAAAAGCACAGAAGAGAGTGGAAGCTGGAGGGGGGGGGGGGAGGGCGAAGAAAGGGTGGTATAAAGTAGATGTTGTATGTTCTATGGCTCAAAACTATAAAAAAATCTATATTGCTTAGAAAATTCGTTCCGATAAATTTATAAATATCCCTCCGAAAAATCTTTCGATTTGATAGTACCAGTAAAAATCCTGACAAAAATCGCAAGTATGTCTATTATAGCATCATCTATCAGAATCTGTGCGCACAAAAACGAAAACTTGGGAGGATTAAAAGATGCGCTTAAAGATATTAAAAAGCGCACAAAGTTTCTCATTCCTAATGTTTACATGCCAAAAAAAACATAGCAAGCAAAAGCCAGTGCGTTAGTGGACGAATTCATCTGTGCTTCACTGATCCAGCGGCTTATATGATACTCAAGAGGTAAGGCACACCAAACACGCTTTTATAGAATCATTTCTCAAAAAACAAAGAAAAGGAGATGTTTCATGCATGTCGTTTTCAAAGATAAAACTTTTCACTCGTCTCAAGAAGTAACTAGATCATAGCTACATTTTTTGAACCTAATGAACTGTGAAGAAGTAAATGCATAACTTCTGTAGCAGTTTTGAGCATTAGCCTTTGCAATCCGGCAACATTTACAGAAAAAGAACGAATTGAAAGATCTGTATCTGGACGGACAAAATAATATTATGCTTGATTCCCCCAATATCAATCTCAATTCCCGCTTTGTGCGGATACAGTGAAAAACCCTACCAATATGATAGCACAGACTAGGTTGTTGCTGTTGTACAGTTACATCTACCAGTGCTACATCGGCATTGTAGAATGTGTCCAAAGCGTTTGCCTCTCCAAAATCCAATCGATCAAAATCGATTTGCTGCAATGATCAATAGTATCAAATCTTCAACCGTAAATCGCATGGATCCTACCGTAAGATTGACATTTAGCGTGTCAGCAACATTTTGTACATCTTTCAGTGCCATCTCACGGACTTTGAGATTCTTCTGAACTTTCTGATCGATGACGATCACAACTTGTAGTTTACGCGTAAAATTAGTGCCCTGGAAAATTCAGGTATGATTGCGGATCAAAAAGCATTATTTTTTCACACAAGCACAACAGAAATAATTCTTGGTTACAAAGGTTCCAAAAATCATGAAAAGATAACTCCTAACAGCTTGCAAATTTCTCTAAATGAACGTTAATATGCTTTCATTTGCAGATAAATACCTGCCTCAGAAACAATAACTGCAAGCGTAGATTTCCTTTTCACAAAAAAAATTTATCAAAATACATTTGCACTGGATACCACGCGCACTGTTCCAAACCAAAGAACATTTTTTGCATAAGAATTACGGTAATTACTGAACAATGATTGTCTGACATTTCCATTGATGTCAAAATGCAAACAACAATCCATGTTATCTTCACTGACCATTTGTCAATCGAAGGTTGTAAAAAGTTTTCTGCAGAAAAGTTAAGAGAACATTTGTAGAAAAATTACCATTCTTTCACCATTTGGTGGAGATGCTGGTATGCGTTGAAATGCCGTGGTTGCCGTTGGTACGACGGATGATCGCGGCGGTAATGGTATTGGGCAAACCTGGAAAATGAGGTCCAAATTCTACAAAAAATCAGGGAAAGCAGGAATCACAGAAACGTTGAGCTGATTGATCCACATCGGAGAGACTAGTGGGATCAAATAGCAAAGTAAAGGAACTCTCTTTACTGAGTAAACAGTACAAGAGAAGGTTGCTTTGAAGTGCTCATCACTGTCTCGAGATAAGCTGACTTTGTTCATCGATTAATATCTAGAGTACTGTAGAAGAAATGAATCTACTTGACCCCCCCCCCTTCCCCCCTCTCTCCAACACCCTCTCGCACAATCGTCCTGAAGCAAGAAAAGGAATAAACTATATTACCACTTTGTAAGTAATTTTTTCATGTACTCATGCTAAGATAATGGGTTTCAAAAAATACTTTAGTAGCAACCCCCTTCGAAAATATCATTTTGACCTCTCACAGGTAGTGTCCAATCAAACTGTGCACCTGGCCTTCTTAGGTGGAAGATGATTTGGGGGTCCTTGACTCCACAGCTGAAGGGGTAGCTCAAATCATCTATTTTTAACCGCTAATCTCTCTCCCAGTACCGTACTCTTCCCGAACGGACCAATCAGCGCTTTCTACACTACTAGGCAATCATTATCAGAATAGATCACAAATACATTTTACAATCTCGGCGAGGTCAAAAATATGAAAACTGTCAATTCTATAATATTACTCACCTCCATGTTCAAATCTGCTCGCTTCATCTTTTATTAGTAGTTGATAATACTGGCATCACGTTTACGTTAGTTCTGAAATTAAAAGATAATCAGTGGCCGGCAAATGTCGGAAACATTTTTTGTAGAGAACTCGAACGATTGTAAACGTGAACTTTGAGAAAAAAAGTCGGTACATCCATCAAAGAATTTCCGAAAATGTAGGTTACTCATTTTATTGAAATAAATTGGTAACAGATTTGATTACAAGGAGACGAACAAACAGATAACACCAGAAAGCAAGAGACCATGGTGTGGCATGATGTTCAGTTGCATATTAAAAAGTATCTAGATAGGTGTAAGAGATGATTTTCGGAGAAAAATGAAAAGGGAAAAACGAGTAAATCAAATAAGTCCCACTACTCCGTTCAAATAAGCCTAGTGCAGTTATAATTGTAGTCAAAATATATAGAATCACTGATAATAAGTATGATGATTGTATATTGTCTTACTCCACCCTCCCCGCTTCCTTTCCTCTCACTTGTGAGTAGGTAAAGATTTAAGGTAGCACAGCCCACTCAGAAAACGAGATCAAGACCTAGTCAATCAAGATATCGATCGACGCGGTCGACAGATCAGTTAAGATTCAGATGTGGATGATTGCAAACACAAACTCCAAATTGAGACTACGACTGATAGACACGAGAATCAGCGATTAGTCAAAAATTGTAGAAAAAAATGAAAAGAAAAAAGGAAAACTAGCCTTCATTATGAGTAATTCACAAATTGATATTGGCAAACACTCCATGATAAAAAAGACGTCCCATAGTTTGCCTTTCGAAACGAAAAAAAAAGAAAAATACACTAGGATGGACTCTTACATGAGTTGAAATCCAAGAAAAGCAAGTTTTCAGATGCAAGAATTCGATGGATATTCTTGAAGCAGAGATCAATGTAACAGCTAAAAAAAGGAGCAAAACAATCAACGAAGATTGAGTTAATCGCCTACACAAGTGACTCAGTAAATAGCCAGGCAAACATAAGCAGGAAGAGTTCATTAACTCACTCAATAATCTACTGTAAGTAATGTTTACCATAACAGAAATGAGGGATAAACAAAAAAAAGAAGCTGGTCAACAAACCAAGTAATTATGATGAACAATGTAGAAATTGAGTAAAAATAGGAGATCGATAACTCTCAGCATGAATCAGATTGTATAAATGAAAGATAATGGCAAAATAACATAAATGTGGTAGATTTCAGAAAACAAGTAATTGTAAATGCATGCGAATGGAATGAGTCTAGTTCATAAGATGTTGTACGAAATGCACTTATAAGCGATTGATAAGTGAAAGGAAGTAAAGGATAACGTAGTTTCCTTGTCGACAGACTGAATGGGCAGAAAGATTGTTTAAGCGCATTAATTATTTATTTGCAATTTTAGGTAATAATTATTGTAGAGTTGAACCGTGCACCATTTTGATTTTGCAGAAGTTGAAAGTGAGTTAGTAAGGGGGTATAACGCTGAATATGCAAGGGTTGCTTTGTTTTATTATTTTTGAGTGAATATGGTAGTTTGATTTTTTGGAAATGAGCAAGAATCAAATGAAATCGAAGGTTAATCCTCCCACTGCTGAAAAACAAATTATGAATGGTATTTTCTTGCTTGCCATCGATGAATTTTCTGACATAAAAATGTTGAATAACGAAACTGAAAACTGATTATTCCTGTAATCGGATTTCCGGAACAAATTAACATCGAAAAGGTAAATGATCTTTTAATGCACTTCACAGATGATATAATCAATTAATTTAATACAGTAAGCTAATAATACTGTGATACGATACCTCAATAAAAACATCAACTTGTTTATTCAATTGTTTATTTTTTAGCCTTTACAAATGCACTTAATGCGCAAAGGAAGTAAAATAAAACCGACCCTATTTTGGACAACACAAGGCACCAGCCGGTTCTCAGCCAGGGAGATTAAAGGAATAGGCGAGAACAAGATAGACTTTATTATATCAATCTCGTGGTATTTTAGTGCGCGAAATTTATCACACTCAGATAAAACCAGTTGATAAGTCTAAGAATATGAAATGTCAAATGTCGCTCATCAATCTGTTCAGGTTTTTCGGTAAGTCTGACTTGGCGAATTAACCTTTAGTAATGATAAATTAAAGATTCAGTGTGATAAGTCAAATGTCGGAAATTTATTTCTTTCTCTCTCAGCAGAATCATGCGACCTTCACGTGCGAAAGAAACGATCAGCGGCATTTAGTTCGCACTCGAAAACGGGTACCGTAAAACCGGTACTAGGATATTTTATTGTCACTTCGATTAGAGTGTTGAAAATCGTTAGCGTTCTGGGACGACGAATAAGATGGACTTGAAAAAAGCTAATATTCAAGGATTTTTTGATAGAGAAAAAATCAGAAATCGGAAAAAATTGAGCGAAAAAGACGGAAAATGAACTCATATTTCAGCAATGCCGTCAAATTATTTGCGTTTAAACTACGGAAAATGTCTGCAGTTGCAAATAACATGCGTTCAAATCCAGAAAGTGTGCTGCAAAGAGTATTTTCCTCGCTTTGAGCTACTACGAAAACTGAAGCTGGAAAAACACTTAGGCACTGCAGATTACAATAACAGAAACATGTGAATGGTCGCAGTCACAGATTATGCGCGGCACACTACGAACAGATCGAAAAACAAAACACTGGACACCAACAGGAAAATTGTTGACTGCAAGCTAGCGCGCTTTCATCAGAGATCGGCATTTGGTCAAAAGTCACAACTCAGCAGGTGTCGAACCTTGGAATTTTGCCAAGGAGTTGACCTGTGATTATAGTAATCCATCACGGCTCACTATAGAATTAATTAGCTAATAAAGATGACCCAGGAAAGTGAAGGAAGCAGGATCGGCCGACTGCGCTGTGCTCCCGCTCCGGAAGTCGCGATTCTACAGTTACTGCTCCTATACGTTATGATTATAATATAGGTGGTACATGGGGTGCACTTGCTACGCGTCCACAGTCTGTGGAATTGCGAACGCGTAACAACAACGCTCTTGCAATGCACGCGACCGAAGTCGCGCTAAACTGCTGCGCGAGTCGCGAAACACGAACCGCCAGCTGCAGCACTAGCGACATCGATTTTCGCTCTTAAATGTGCAGCTGAAGTTTGCTATGTTTGCATCACAATAATGTATAGTGTCGGTAAAATTGTGTGAACGCTTATAAGCCGTGCTGTTCTGCTGCGCAAGTCGCGAGCCGGGATTTCGCTAGATTTGAATCCAATGAGTATGCACTGCCTGGGCCCTACATATGATTCAGTTTCCGCGCACATTTTTACAAACGAGTGCGCTGATCGCAAAATCTTAGAGTAGGTGACGTTCACGTATTTCTAAACAGCTAGAAAATGTTAAGAATATAAAATACTTACGAAAAAAATATTGCTGGGTATTACCGAACAGTCTCATTAGATACAGCGATAGACATACCAGCAAACACAGAATTTTTATGAGCCGGCAATGTGTTGACAATATCGGGTCGGGGTATCCTATCGCTTTGCTCGATGATGTTTGATCAGCTGACCGTCCGATCAACAGGAGAAAAAGAGGCTTCTGCGCACTTCTCACTCTGTGCAAATGTGGAGGTTTTGTGCATATGGCACAGTTGTGCGTCGTTTTGCAACTAAGCCGCTGTTTACGACGAAAAACTCGTCCAACAAGTAGGTTTTGAGACCAAAGTCTAAAGGGTCGGTCATACCATTCAGCGATCCATCGCCGCGATGGATGATCGTCGCGACTGGGTGGAAACTAGCGACGAAAACGCGCGACGGATCGCTGATCGCTCGAATAAGGGGGCATACTACCGCGGCGATGTGGGCATTCTCACACTACGTCACATAAATCACTTTCGCACAAGCATAAAGCATAAACTTCTCATATAAAAGTCATGAATATCTGACAATCACTGAATTCAGTGCAGATTAGCCGCGGAATATGTACAACTAGCTCCTGAGAGTTCACAAACAAAAGTCATGCCCGTGATGAGGATACTGAGGTAATAAAGAACACAAGGAAACGTTATAATGGTTAATAGTAGAGCCGTACCCACGAAACACACATCAGTTGAAAACCAGATAGCTGGCAAATTTGGGAAGAATGCAAGGCATTCAGCGTAAGTGACAATTGCTGATAAATCAAAAGGCTTCCATTTCACGGAAAACCAATGCACTTTGACAAAACTAAAATGGTTTCCAATCCCCAGACACGAGACCAGCTTAAGAAAGTAAAGAACAATCATAAAACTTTCCTGGAAAGAGATCCCAATCCTAGCGATCCATCGCGTCGCGCATTTGAAATGAGCGACGCGAATTCGCTAGGATGAGCGACGATCGCGGCGATTTCGCTCAAATCGGTATGGCCGGGTAGAAAACGGCCCGCGATGCATCGCGCCGGACAGCCAGCACAGATACGCAGTTATCTCCGGCCTTGTAACACTTGTCCTTTGGGAAAGTCAGCGACGCGATGGATCGCTGACCGGTATGACCGGCCCTTAACGTCGAGTAGCGCACGATTATGATAGAGAATAACAGGAGCGAGATGGAGGAAGAGAGCTGCAGCAGCGCTCAGATAGCTTATCATTTTACAGCAGGATTAAGTCTACTTATCAAAACTGAAGAGAAGAAGACCTTTAAAAACTGATTTATACGATACATTCGGTTAACTATGAAATGTTATCGAAAAAACAAACACAATTTGCAATTTATAGTAGTTGGCATTATCCATATTTTGAAGGGCTTTTGTTTATAATTACTCTAAGTCGCTTGCAGTCATTTGTGGCTTGATGCGTACTACACTATATGCGCGGTATTTCACGGCCTGTGCACTCACACAAAATGAATTCCAAGAAATCCTTATCGTTTTATTCTTCTTTTATGCTTAAAAAACTCATACAAATCAATTCCAAACATAATATCCCTTTTAAGCGAAACCGCCCACTATTCGTTAGTAAGTCGTGATGTAACGTGCATGGTGTGCAATCTCACATACGTTCAATCTCTCCATAAATTCCACTATATGTAAAGTG